TTTGTTTACTGCTTGATTCAAACAATCAAGCAGTAAACAAAAGCCTAATCGAGAAACCAGCAAGGGGAAAACAACACCCCCCCCCCAACACTGGCAGGGCAAGCTACTGTATATAAACAGAGAGCAAACCCCACTCCCTTCTAGCGCTGAAGATGTTGCCTAGCCGGGTAATGAAAAGTCTGCAAGAAAACCACCAAGCTCAGAGAACCCCAAGAACTCCACAGTTCAACCCTGAGCTACACATATTCTCTTTTGGGAGATGGGCCATTGCTGCTGTTTTTGGAGATCAAGAAGACTCTCACTCCACTGATCTAGAGAAGCCTCAATCTGACCTCCTGTTTCTTGTCAACATCCCCATTCCAAATTTGTCATTTCTGATGATTCCTTCCTGTCTCCTTGCTGACAACTCGAGGAAACCTGATCTACTCTCTGTTTAGGAGGCGGAAGTGACCGAGGAAAGCCAGGCTTGTCCAACAGATGGTTTGCTTCCTACACCCACATATAGGTTGATACTCCTTTTTTGTGACGCAGAGATAATTTCCAAAAGCACAGTAAAGGGAATTGCCATCCGCTGGCCACACATTGGCCAACAAATTAAGTGTTCATAATACACAATCTTGTTATGGAATTAACCCTTTTTTCTGGATTTGTATAATATATTGAAATACAGTAGAATCCGTTGGAGTTGGGTGGCTAATACAGTACATTTAAATAAACTAATTAATTAACCTACAGGGCTGAGTTCACACAACCTGTTGAGCTAAAAGCAATCAGGGTTGAAACCGAACCAGCTTAGTATTTTACATGAACGCAGATGCAAATCTCACGGATCTGGTTAAGAAAGCTGTGTGAACACAGGTGTTAAGCAGATGTTACCCCTCTCTCAGGAACTGAGGTACCAAAGATTGTACTGTATTGGGAGAAAATGTGTTGAAAGTGTCTTTCATATGATCCACCTTCATGGTGCAGAACATGCTTTGCCAACCTAGTGTCCTCAAAATATATTGGGTGTCAATTCCCAGAATCCCTGGCAGCATAACTGGCCATGTTGAGTAGAGATCTAATACTTCTGGAGAACACCAGATTATGGAAGACTGGCACAAGAATTCCCAACCCCATCCCAAAGGATAATAGTGAAATAAATGTGCCCAGGATAAACCTGCATAACTGTACGTAAAGTGAAAAAGTAGATAACTCCAGATCTCCTGTGACCACATTTCCCCCCTAAAACTTATGCATTTAATGTTAACAGTTGTAGCTCCTTCTTCAGCAGGACTTCAACAGTGAAAAGTAGCTGATCATAGTGTAGATGGGTGGAAGTCAAGAAGGGGATGGGAGACTGCATTAAAAGCCCTGGTGGGGGATGAATAATCTGGACATAATCTTCCACATTAGGGAAATACTAGCCTACTCTAATCTAGTTCTGGCTGTTCTGACTGAGAGCAATGCTGCAGAATCTAAAGCAGGACATTTTCTCCATTTGATTCCTGTTTCTTTTAACTTGGAGGAGGCAAGGATTAGAAGGCAGAAGACTTCCTTACAAATTACAGGTTTGAATACAGGTAGTCCTCGCTTAACGAGGGTAATTGGGACTGGCAACTCCATCACTAAGTGACATGGTTGTAAAGCGTGATGTCGTGACCATGCCAACTTATGACAGCAGTTGTGGCAGTTCCAGTTGCTGCTGTTAGGCGAATCCTGTGTGGTCGCAGCATCCTGCAGTCACACGATCACCATTTGTGACCTCCTGTTGGCTTCCCAATTGACTTTGCTTGATGGAAGCCAGCAGTGAAGATTGCAAATGGCAATCGTGTGATCATGGGACACTGCAATGGTGTAATTGTGAGCTGGTTGCCAGGTGCCTGAATAATAATCATGTAACCACAGGGATGCTGTGACCACTGCAAGTATGAGGAACGGTCGTAAGTCTCCTTCTTCAGTCCCATTGTAACTTCGAATGGTTACTGAACGAGTGATCGCTGAACGAGGACTATCTGTAGCAAGGAATTCCTTGGACCTGAATGCTGAACCCTAAACTGTAACTTGCTAAATAGGGTTCATAGTCAGAAACCACATGGCAGCAGCTGTCCAAGAATTGGTTAAATAATGCAGACCATCTGAAGCAGATGTTGGTTGTAAATCATGAGGACTAACCCTAACCCTAACTATTTTGATTGTTATAATTAATAAATAGTCATCATACTATGTTGAACCAATCAAAGCCTTTGTAGAGGTAGTCCTTGTTTAGCAAACACAATTGGGACTGGAAACTCGGTTGTTAAGTGAAGCAGTCGCTAAGTGAAACATCACAATTTTATGATCTTACTTCAGCTTTCCTTTGCTTTACCGATCTGCAAAGGTTGTAAATGTGAGGATTGGTCACAAAGTTACTTTTTCATCACCGTCGTAACTGTGAATGGTCGCTAAATGAGGCAGTCACTGAATGAGTACTACCTGTACCTTAGTTGTTATTTTAATAGAGAGATACTCCCACAAATTCAGTTGTCAGTCTTCTGGGGAAGATATTGTTAAAAGTTTGCAATATTTGGCATTTTCAGTCCTATACCTAATGTTAATTCAGTACATTTTACTGGCATATCAAGTTTTCAAATATTTAACAAGCAGGCAGTCCTTGACTTATGACTATTCGTTCAGCGACCGTTCAAAGTTACGAAGGTGCTGAATGAATGGTGGTTACAACTGGTCCTTGGGGTTATGGCTGTCCCAGCACTCCCGTGGTCATATGATCATGATCTGGGCACTTGGCAACCCGTTCACACGTATAACTGGTTGGCAAGCGCCCCATGATCACATGACTGCCATTTGCAGCCTTCCCTGCTGGCTTCCCCAGAAAGTCAATGGGGAAGTTGGGAGGGAAGGTTGCAAGTCACTAGGGTAAGTCTCTCCCACCCACACACTCTCCCCAGCCCCTCTGCGCTCACACCACGCTGCCCACTCAAGCACCCCATGCACCCTCCCTGACCCACATGGCGCCTCCCGTGCACTTCTTTGCGGATCTCCCCACAACCCTATACCCCTCACGCACCCCTTCCCTCCCCCACCTGGCAGCAGCCACTTACCTGCCTGCCAGCCTGGGACTTGCAACTTCCTGCCAGCTTCCCCACTGACTTTGGTTGTGGGAAGCCAGCAGGAAATTGTCTCACTTAACAACCATGGGATTCAGTTAACAACGGCAACTGGGATTGCAGGGATTGCCATCGCTAAGCGATGCAGTTGCGCTTTACAACCGCATTGCTTAGCAGTGGAAATTCTGTTCTTCATTGTGTCGTAAGTTGAGGATTACCTGTAAGACAGTGTTGTCCAAACTTGGGCACTTTAAGATGAGTGGACTTCAACTCCCAGAATTCCCCAGCCAGCTTTAAGATGAGTGGACTTCAACTCCTAGAATCCCCCAGCCAGCTGGAAGATGAGTGGACTTCAACTCCTAGAATCCCCCAGCCAGCTGG